TTCCGACAGCTCCCGAGCTTACCGCGTCGTTGAATCTCTTCGGTTCAATCAAGAAAAAGATGTGAGGGTTTGCATTCGTGTGATGGGTTGACGTTACGATGTGGGGGTGGCGGAGGAGATCGGCACAGGTCGACAGTGGCGTTCGGAGTGGAGCGACGAGGATCAAGAGATGTGCGCATCGATGCGAGACCTCAGGAAGGTTTATCATCTCTTCGATGGTGCTGATGACAGATGCGCAGAGTATGATCCTACAAGTCCCAGAGCGGTTCGGTGCGAAGCTCGGATGCCAGCGGGTCCGCCAACGCGCGATCTGACCTAGACTAATGAACAGCAAAGTCGAGCATGAGGTGAGCAAAGGAGGTGAGAGCTGACTACTATCTGATTAAAGTCCTCACCACAGTCATTGCCCGAGTAGCGAGTGGGCGATCGGCGTGATCGAGGCGATGCGCTGACCGAGCACGTGTCCGACCGAGTACGCTCGAGCGATGCATCGACGTAAGCTTGGACGCTACTGAAAGTGACCGCGCCCTCTCAAGTTGCGGTTTTGAGTTGTATCCTGTTGAAGATGGCGGTGTTGTTAACCGTGTTGTGCGACGTCGCACCGTGCCCGCATCAGCCGGCTTGAGGTGACACGTCGAGCTGTAGTTGGATCGAGGTGCATCTTGCAGATTGCATGGCGCATGTGAACGATGCGAAAGCATGTGACGTCGAGTTGTGGCGTGGTGCGATCGGTGCCGAGTCCGAGTCGAGTCAGGCGGTGCGAGTGGTGCGAGTGAGTGGGGAGAGGGAAAGGGGCGTTGGCGCGCGCGAACGTGAAGTCGAGCAGATCACACGGGCGCACCGAAGTCGCACCGAGATCCCGAAGCTCGGTGCGCTCGGCCGTGTGATCGGTCTCCGATTAGCTCAGGTCCAGTCAACCTCTAAAGGCCTATAACTTTTTGAAACTCGAAAAGGGATGCGAGAAATTTTCAAGGCTAGAGAGAGCGAGTGATTCCGAGGTTAGCGCTTGGCGGCCCGGGGGGTCGTTGAACGAGTGAGTCGGCCGGCGTCCGCGGCGAAAAGGTCGACTCGTTCAGGTCACTGAGCACGCTCGTACAATTTTCATTCCTTTACTCAAAGGCTGTTCTCGAAATGTAGACGAGCCATGTCCGAAGATTTGAGGGAAAGACATCGTATTCGGGGAGCAGATCTTTGATCCGATTACGAGTCGAGATCACCATGCAATGATTGACGAGACTTAGAGTCACGGGCGTGTCCTTGAAGCACATCTCAGTCCGACTCTCGCAGACCGCAATTCTGTGAAATGCATGAAGAGATGAGTTAAGTTCTCAAGTGATCTCTGGCGGTGTGATTACAGCATGAGAGGAGGTTTTCTCCAACAGATCGTCGGTGAAAACTTGATGCGGTCGCTTCGTTTGCGGACAAGTTCGGTCGCCTTCGACGATGATCGCAAGGCTCTGTGAGGTCGTTCTGACGCCTCTTTGCATGCTTTTGAAATAGTACAGGGTTACGGTGATGACGCGGAGAAGATTGTCCAATTAGCACTGTCCGCGGAAAGACTCGATCGTCGCCGAGCCGAGAGACAAGTAAGGACTAATCGACCCATGCTCGCTGCCCCATCCTACAGATGTATGTTCCTCACTCTCAGAACACTCGAATATCCGAAAAACTGGTCGATAGGCGTGTCGTGCTAGATTGCGATGTTGATACAGTATTTTCATCGGGACCGTTCTCCGAGATCGAAAAGCGAAAGTGATGCCGCAGCACACATGATCTGGGTCGATCTGGTCCTTCCGAACAGGTCATTGCTGCAAGCCATATACCTCGCATCGAAGCATGTTGCAAGCTACATGAATACTTTTGAGAGATCTATCACATGGTCGTCACTGTGTTGGAGTCAATTTCGAGTGCTGATTTGGAGTTGAAAAGTCGCGCAAGGAGGTCGGCTCTCGATCGCGCAAACTCGGCCCCTTTAGTTTTCGCGGGTCGATCGGACAGTGATCTTCGACACTCGAAGGAGGACTTTCTTGATGGAATTTTTCAATCTTGACGGAAGAATCCATGCGGTGCTTTGCGGTGTCAAAGCATACTTTCAGTCATGATCGTCGGTGAGGGATGCGGGTCGCAGAAGTTTGACTTTGCGTGAAAGTCGAGGAAGCCCCTCGCTGTCGAATCACGGCATACCTCTGCAAGTAGCTGTTCTTCACACATATTTACTTGCTACAGTCGTAAAAAGTCTATAGGACACAGGCTACGGATCCGATTGCAAAGTTGAAGCCCACTCTAAACGGACCGCGGCATGTCACTGCAGCTCCGTCACCATGGGCGACGCATACGCATGAGCGACAAATACGATCGATCCAGTGAGTCGCTTTGACATACTCCGACACAGTTTTGCTTGCGTTCAGCAGATGGCAGTCCAGATTTCATGTCGGATTTGATACAAGAACATACCATAGAGGTCTTTGCGGCAGAACCATGTCCGAGGCCGCAGGAAAACCCGGCAAGAATGGGGCAAGAAGATCCAAAGGTTCTCAGACATGCACATATGAGCTCAAGACCACCTGGCATTGCATCAAAGAGCACATCCTCAATTATTCGTACCCCAGAAATGCAGGGAAAGAAGTGAAAGGAGCAAACGTCGCTCGAGCAGTTGACCAAAGAGTCAAGGTGGTCCTTCGTTCTCAATGTCAAGGCGAGCGCGCACGACGCTAGGTCGCCCAGAAGAGTTCGCATGGTTGACGAAGCCTCCTCACACAAGTGATTGGCGATTGTCGAGTCTTGAATGGCGGAAGCAGCAGCGGCAAAGACGAGAGCTTGCATGCTCCTCGACAAGGGATCTGTCCCACCGAGTTGAGTTTTGAGGTCGGGGGCGATTGAGGAGATCGAACTCGAGCAAAGCAGGTCTCGCCGAAAAAGTCTGGATCCTCAATTGGAAAGAGTCGACGATCATTCATCCATGAGAGCGAGAAACGGTTTCGAGCGAGTTGGAGTCTGAAGAGTCGAGCTAGGCGCAGGCTGGAATCTGAGAGCGAAAGAAAAGTCAAACATAAGCAAGAGTGCACCTACTTGCAAAACAAGGTGTGGAGGAAGGGAGGGCTCTTAAGTTGATGGCATGCACTGACCTTTCGGACGTGTGCTCGCTTTGTGACTGCCAAACGAGTTCGTTTACACCCAGCGAGGTGAATGCATGAAGAAGCGAAGCGAGGGGAGATGGAACACCGTGCGTCGCTGATCGCGGTCCATGACCGCATGACCAGGGCTGCTAAAGCGGGTACGAACGTGCATGTCGCAGAGGTGGGATGGTGATCGCACGAATAGAGCTAGTCGAGCAAGTCGCCGAGTTGGATTGAGAATGCAAAGGACCGTCACGGTCCGAGGCCGAATTCGAGCGCCGAGTGGTCCGGAGATGCCCGAGTCCTGGCTGTCTGATTCCAACGTGCGCAACCTAAGACGGTGTTCGAGTAAGATGTGAACGAATGAGGAGGTGTTCGGTGTGAAATCTTGAGAGCTTTGCCAGCAAGTCGATTGGTCGGTGCGATCAACGAAGTAGCGTGTCAGCGTGCAAGTCCGGTCAACTTGAACGGCAAGGAGAGCGGGAATGTGGGATGTTGAGGTGCCATGGGGTGAAACGTAGACGATCTGGGATGCCTTGACAAGCTGGATGACGAAGGCGGGCGATTGAGCAATTCGTTCGCGGCGGCTCGAAAGCCGCTGGGCGAGCAAGGATCCCCGGCGAATCTCCGTGGCGAGAAGGCCGAAACTGGTCTGCGTGCTGGAGACTTGTCGCAAGAGAAACCGAGGAATGGTAATGAATGAATTCGGATGTGGGCCGTGCGAGCGTGTGAGCGAATCGGGGCGAAGCTCCATTCGAGGAAGCGCTCCCATTCCGGGTTGTTCGTAACCAACAATCTACACTGCGCAGTGACACGGCATATCTTCGTCTCATCAGCAAGGGGTGCAAGTCGCAAGCGAGAGCTCAGATCGAAACAGCTCACTGTGGGCGGTCTGAGCGAGTCGTCCGAGGTCGAGCAGTTCCGGTCGCGATGGCTCAAGTGAGCAATTGACATAGCCCGGACGCAAATGTAGGTACCTTCGAGCTCGTTATCGACTCGTTGAAAGCCGATTGGCGATGTTGATGGTGCTGCAGTTGCTGAATAGGTTCCGCGCTTGCCTCAGCCGGCTCGGGTTGACACTTCAAGTGCCGGGTCGAGTAAAGTCGAGCCGCATGTACCGGCCAAGTGACGTTTCAACGTGACGGCAAGATGTTGCGTCGTCGTGTGTTTGTGCACTGAGAGTAAAAGACGAATGTGTCGAGTGGTGCGAGGGATTGGCGGATATCGAGTCTTGGGTGGCGGAGGCAGCGGCGGCAAAGTTGAGAGCTTGCACGCTCCTCGAATCTCTCGCACCGAGTTGAATTTTGAGGTCAGGGCCGATTGAGGGGAGATCAAAGTCGAGCAGAGCAAGTCCCGCCGAAGAAGTCTGGATCCTCAATTGGAAGAGTCGACGATCATTCGTCCATGAGAGCGAGAAACGGTTTGTAGCGAGTCGGAGTATAAAGAGTCGAGTTAAGCGCAGGCCGGATTCTGAGACCTGGTGGAGCGAAAGAAGAGTGACACATAAGCAAGAGTGCACATACGGGCAACACGCGGTGTGGAGGAAGGGAAAGCCTTCGGGTTAAAGGCACTCACTGACCTTCCGGACGTTTGCTCGCTTTGTGACTGCCAAACGAGTTCGTCGCTACCAAGCGAGGTGAGTGCAAGAAGCAAAGCGGAGCGCGAGGAGATGGAGCACCATGCGATGCTGATCGCGGTCCATGACCGCATGACCAGGGCTGCTGAAACGGGTACGAACGTGCATCTTGCAGAGGTGGGATGGTGATCGCACGAATAAAGCCAGTCGAGCGAGTCGCCGAGTTGGATTGAGAATGCGAAGGACCGTCACGGTCCGAGGCCAAAATCGAGCGGCGAGTGGTCCGAAGAAGCCCGACTCGGGACTTCATGTTTCAACGTGCGCAACGTAGGATGGAGTTCGAGTAAGTTGCAAAGCAATGGGGAGTGTGCCGTGGAACGCCTCGAGAGTTTTGCTGGGAACTTGATCGGTCGGAGTGATCGACGAGGTTGAAAGCCAGTGTGCAAGGACGGTCGAGTTGAACGGCAATGAAGACAAGCGGGAATGTGGGATGTTTGGCATGATGGGTTGAGACATAGACAACCGTTAACGTTTGTACGCATGAGAGTGTTTCGTGGCACATCTCAGGAGCTGTGCCGTGAAGTGTGCCAACACTGACGACCCTTTGCCTTGCGTGACAGGGCATCGCCAGCTTTGGAACTACGGCTTCATTCACCGTGACGTGTCCTATGGCAACGTCATGGTCGACCGGAACGGCGCTGGAGTCCTGATCGACTACAATTTGGCGGTAAAGAAGGCTCGAACGGCGGAAGAAGAGTGTCGCCTCAGCCGCTCGGTACGTTCTCTCGTCCGTGCTAGCCCTCGACACGTTCTTGGTCTCACCCAACTCCTTTCCACCCTTCCCCTGTACCATGATCAACCACAGGGCACGCTTCCCTACATCTCCCGACTCCTGCTCGTACCCGAAACCGAGAGTGTGGTGCATGAGCGATGGCACGACATAGAGTCCTTTTTCTACGTGGCGTCCCGCACGGCTTTTCAATCTGAACCTTCCGACGCGACCCTTTTCGAAAAGTCGGACGCTGCAGATATTTGGAACGCGTGGAACGCCCAAAAGCTCAACAATGCAGCAAGCAGGAAAAATGGGCTGTCTACGAGATCCGGCTTCAGGGAGCTCCTGGACGCATGCGCATCTCGTTGGTCTGGCATGGAGAAGGTTCTGAGTGTCCTGCAGCAAAATTGCTCGCTGGATTGGTCTTTCGCAAGGCTGAGACGCATCGATACAGAGCCAGAACTTGCGTCGCTTTGGAACTCCGGTCAGATGTCGTATGAACACGTCCAGGCGGCTTTCAAGGCCCTTTGCGAATAGAACCGTGCTCGACATCTGCGTTCTTGTTTTGCAATTTCTATGGACGAATGTGACTGTAATACTAGACTTCGTACTGCGCGTTATGATCAAACTCCTAGATCCTGCATGCGCAGACCAATCGACATCATCCTGCCGAACCCGATACGATCGACCACAGGAGTGGGGCGAGCTTCAGGGGGAATGCGGCGGCCCGGCTATAACGAAAGCAAGCCTGCATAGACCAGACAGGAGCACCGAAGCTTCAGTAGTGTGTTTCGACCTATTTATGTGGGCAATTTCCAAATACCAAATGCGAAATTCTCCCGCCCGCCGCCGCCCGCCCGCCCGCTCTCCGCGCGCCCTGGGCTTTCCGCTTTCGACTTCAACACGATCTGGGAAGCCTACAGCACCTGTACCGTCAAAAAAGCTGTAGGCTTCCCAGATCGTGTTGAAGTCGAAAGCGGAAAGCCCAGGTTGTACCCTCTCTATCGAACGGCAAGAGAAAGACGGTACAAGTCCTTGAATTGTATTTGATGAGAAAGGAAAGTGAAGTGAAGAAAGTCGATAAGCGGTGTCGAGCAATTATCGAAGGTAGATCCGTGTGAACTCGGGGAGAATGAATGGATGGGGGGAAGAAAAGAGAGGAGAGTTCAACGGCAAAGCTAGAGAGAGACAGGAAAAGGAAATGGAGGCTAACGGCTCTGATGAGTATTAGTGAATTGGAGGGGCGGGCCTACATCGTCCCCCGCTGAGTAGAGCGTCTCTACTCCTGGGGTTTCAATAATCCCGTGGAGGCGTCGGGGCCTGCCTGTAATTCGATGATGCCGACGGTGAGCCCTGCCCGGCCAGCGTCTGCGGGTTCGGGCTTGGTCCCAAAAGTGCTTCGGTGCCCTGGGCGTTGGAGGGGCCGGCGATGAGCGGCATCGACAAATCCCCTGGAGTGATATATGGACTTTGGGTAGGGGTGCCCTGGGGCGTGTGGTGCAAGGCGGCGAAACTTGCAGCGCTCACTGTCACCGCCCCTCGGAGGGGGGATCCCGGCAGTTGTTGAGGGCTTGTTTTGCCAGTGCGTTCAACGCAGGCTTGCTGATCTTGAATACGTCGATACTCGGCTTGGCCGGTTTGCTGCCGCTGATGACTCGCCTGCTGCGCCTGTAGGCGAAGTTGTTCCCTCAGGGGCGGAGGGTCCTCCAGAGTGGCGTTCGCTACTTGTCGCGTAGGTGCGGCCGGTCGGCGTGCGGGAGGCCTCCTGCCGCACGGTCTCCATCTCATACGACCAGTTATCGTGATCGGCTGGGCGGTCGAGTCGACGAGCAGTGCTTGACTTCGTTGGATCTTCTCCATCGCGGAGGTAATCCTGTTGGCTTGGCGGCCTTTTCCTCGAGGTCGCTGATGAAGTTGCGTCCCCTCGTTTGGGCGGTCCCCGCGCGGTTCATTGCGTGATGCCAGCGCTCGCTCTTGGTGTATTCTGAGATGGGTTTCCTCTGAAGATGGAGAGCCAGTCGTCAAGTTATAGTCAGGGTCGGCGATGGGAATCTGGCGTCTGACAGGTTTGAGGTCCCAGATGGTGGTGACCTTGTTCTTGGCCAAGTACTCCTCAGGGACAGCCGGACCGAGGTGTAGTCCCGTCGCGAGGAGTTCGTTAAATGAGGCACGTCCGATTTTGGCTCCTGCTCGTTGTCCCTGAGGGGTGTCGGAGTAGACGAGTGTGCCTTCGAGCTCGCCTGCTTCGTTCTCGACGAGTTCATGGTTGAGTACGTATGCGATGGCCATCGGTAAGTCGATCGGGTAGACCGGGACTGAGTCAACGAGTCGGTTTGGGAATCGGGATTCGTCTGAAGGTTTAAAAACCTTGAGTTGGGATGCGTGGAACGTGCTACGGATCCCGCGAGATGTACAGCGTTCCGGACTCGGGCAAGCTTGTACGTCGAGTTGGCTGGGTCAAACCCGAGGCAGGTGAAAGGCCCGATATACTTCGGGGCCCATGGGTCAGGGTAGGTGGGTGCATCGCAAGGGGGTTGCGATAACATGTCGGGCATGGCGTTCGCCTTGCCTGCGGTGTGCTCAGCCGTGTATGCAAATTCCGAGAAGTAGAGATACATGCGCGTCTGTTTTCTAGACAGCGTTGGGAGTGTTGTGAACTTCGCAAGAGTCTGGCTGTCCGTGAGGACGATGAATGGACGTCCTCGCAGCTTTGTTTCGAAGCGTTGAAATCCTTCGTACATGCCCTGGAGCTCTTGGTTCTGGGTGTTGTAATTGAATTGGGAAGGCGAGAACTTTCGCGAGTGGTAGCCCGTGGATGCTTAGCATGTAGCCGACTCCTGTACCTGAGGCGTCGAATTGGAGGAAGAGGTACTTCCCTTTGGATTCGTTCTCTGGCACCTTTTCTCCTTCGGCCGGGAGGGGTGTCTAGGTGGACTGGGAAGGTACCATCGGGTGCAAGCTCGTCTGAGCGAATGCAGGTGAGTTTGGCACTGTCGTCAAATGCAGCCTTGATACTTTCAAAAGCGTCGCTGCAAGCTCGGGACCATCTCCAGGGGCTGTTCACCCCTGTCAGTGCATCCAAGGGCGCCGCTAGCTCGGCAAGGTGCGGGATTGATCGATGGTTATATTCCACCGCTCCTAGGAAACGTTGAAGATCCTTCTTGTTCTTAGGAGCTGGGGTAGCTCGGATGCCAGCCGCCTTTTCCGGCTGCATCGAGCTTTCTCCCGGGCGAATCTTCCTGCCCAGAGAGTCGCGAATCTCTGTAGCGAATTTGAACTTTGAGATAGGAATGCGGATGCCGTGGACTTCGGCTCGCTCGAGAGTCTCGCGGACATCCCGTTTGTGTTCGGCCCAGGTATTAGAGATGGGCCACAGGTCGTCGGCGTAATGTTTGATCTTGCGATTGATGAGTCCAGCAAAAGCAAATGAGACGAGCCGGTGTAGTGTAACCGTGCTGTTGCGATCGCCTTGTTGAGCGACAAGTGAGTACAGGATCCCGTTAGGGGTGCTGAACGCGGTCTTCTTCACATCTTCGTCCTTGATGCGACTTTGTTGGAAAGCACCTTGAAGGTCGATCTTCGTGCAGAAGTTCGCCGCTGCAACTGCGTTTACTTTCAGGAACTGAGGCCGAGGCACGAAGTGCGTAAGTACGAGAGCCGATGAAGATAGTAAAGATAGTTGGAGAAAGAAGATAAGCGCTAAGGGAGCGCGCGCGAGGCAGGCTCGAGACGCGCGGGGCGACTAATATCAACAACTAGTAACTAATCATAATCGGGAATACCAGTGGGATGAAACAGCAATATATTGACACCCCCCCGTGCTGTCATACCACTGCACCTCGCAAACCCAAATTCTCCCGATGGAACATGAACGGCTTGGGACCCAAGGCTTTGGTGAAAATATCGGCAATCATGTCGCCGGTGGCGATGTAGCGGACCTCGATCTCCTTCTCAGCTACCCTCTCGCGGACGTAATGTTCCGAGATGCGAACATGACGAGACCCCTGATGGTTGGTCGGGTGCTGCGCAAGAGCCAGCGAACCTTGGTTGTCCCCGTAGAGTACGACTGGACCGGAGACCGGAGCGCCAAGTTCAGCCAGGAGTTCGCTCAGGTGGATGGCATCACCGCTTGTGTACGAAAGAGAGAGGTACTCTGCGTCGGTAGTGGACTTGGCCACCCTGTGCTCGCGTTTGGAGCACCAAGCAATAGCGGCTCCGGACAAGATGAACGCGTAGCCCATGGTCGATCGTGAGGTCGTTAGACAGGCTCCCCAGTTCGCATCCGAGTAGCCACGGAGTGGTTGGCTGGTCTTGCGATAGGTGAGGCCCAAGTCCAGCGTGCCTTTGATGTAACGGAGGACCTGCTTGATGGCTGTCCAATGCTCCGGGCCAGGCTGCTGGGAGAAGCGAGCGAGGTAGCTGACCACGAAGGCGAGGTCCGGACGAGTTCCAACTGCGGCGTACATCAACGAACCGATGGCCTGCAAGTAGCGCGTACGATCCTGAGGAGTGGCCGCCAAGTCCTCGAAGTCAAGGACGACACCTGGCTGCATTGGAATACTTGCCGGCTTGGCATCGGTGAATTGGAACCTGGCAAGGATGTCCCGAAGGTAGCGCTCTTGTGAGAGCGTGATAGAGCCGTCTTGTCCACGTTTGACTTGGATGCCTAGAATATATTCGGCAGGTCCGAGACGTTTGATGCCGTATGCGAGTTCCAGCGCGTCCATATCACGAAGGACGAAGATAGGAGAGGTGAGCCGGACGAAGGGGCTCGAGACGAGGGCAAGGGCGAGTGACGAGTTGAGAGGTGTTCTAGGGACTTCTCACAAGAGGCGAGGACGAGGGACGAGTGCAAGGATGTGACCTTTGACGAGATTCGAGTTGCAGAAGGGAAAGAGAGAAGTGAGCTACGGAACTGGGAAACTAGACCAGAGGAGTCGGGGACGAGGTGGCGAGCTTGAGGAGGCGAGGCACGAGGATCACGTAATAGTGTTGAGGCCAAGGATCACGTAATAGAGCTTGGTTGATGTTCACGTAAGAGTCGGGGGCGAGAGGGTTGTGAGCGTATAGTTGGAGGAGAAGAAGGCAGTGCAGGTGCCGAAGCGGGGAGAGGAGGTCCGAAGCGCGGGAAGGCCCAAGTCACGCGGATGACGTGGGTGCTGAGAGGCCGAACTTGGAGTGGCGAAACTCCCATTCGTGACACCTTCGTTCTCAATCTCGAGGCGAGCCGGCAGGGCGCTAGGTCACCCACAAGAGTTCGGATGGTTGGAGAAGCCTCCTCGCACAGGACATAGGACATCAGCAAATATCGAGTCTTGGGTGGCGGAGACAGCAGCGACAAAGACAAGAGCCTGCATACTCGTCGACGAGTGATCTGTCGCACCGAGTTGAGTTTTGAGGTCGGGGCCGATGGAGAGGAGATCTCCGTCGAGCAGAGCAAGTCCTGCCGAAAAAGTCTGGATCCTCAAGTAGAAAGAGTCGACGAGCATTCTGCCGGGAGACGGACTTAAAACGGTTGCGAGTGATTCGGAGTCCAA